AACAACCTCTCCAGCCTGCCAGTGGGGCTGCTGGCCGGGCTGCCCCTCCTCACCACCCTGGCACTGGACCATAACCGCCTGGCCCACCTGCCCCCGGGGGGGTTTGATGCCAACAATGAGCTGGTGCGTGTGGGGCTCTCTGACAACCCCTGGGCCTGTGACTGCCACCTCACCTATCTCCTGCACTGGCTCCAGAGCTTTGCTGAGCCTCTCATCCATGGGCAAGCCTTCTGTGCCAGTCCAGCTGCTCTCCAGGGACAGTCCCTGCTGGAGGTCCCCCAGGTACACCTGGAGTGCTCAGGAGCACCCAGTGTCCCTCCAGAGGAAGACTGGGACAAGGATGCTCCAGGGCAGTGCACCTACAGCAATCCTGAGGGCACTGTAAGTGTGGCCTGTGATGCCACAAGCTGCCAGGAGCTCAGCCTTCGCCTCCCTCCTCCTCCTCCTGGGCAAGCGCAGAGCTTGGGGCCAGCATACCAGGGTGACTGGGTGCTGCACTCCCGCTGTGGCTCACTGCAGGTCAGTGTCCTGATCATGGCACAGAGTGGGAACGAGGCCACATCGCCAAGTCTACCCACCGTGCCCTAGAGCTCGGGCAGGCACCTGTTTCTGCATTGGCAACCTCTCGAACCAACCTGGGAAACAGAACCCCGTTCTGCTCCGCTACCCCTGCAGCGGTCACCAGCCACCACTGAGCTCTCTGCAGCAGCTGACCTGCTTGTATTTATTCTCCCAGCTCTGTGTTTCCTGTGTATTTCAAATATAATTAAAATGTATATATTATTTCTGTGCAACCAGTTCCTATGGCAGAAAAAGGAATTGCTCAGCTCCCTCATCTCTGCCTGTGTGTCTGGGAGAGATGGTGAAGGTCGATGTGGTCCACTGGGGTCTTGTCTGGGGCTGTGCACGATGTAGCATGGGTGCAGGTGCCTGGTGGTGAGTAGGTGTCATTCTGGCATGCTCATGGTGTGCTCATCTCTGCCTGCTGTAGCCCTCCAGCCCCATCTCCTGCCCCCACTTCCCTTGGCACTGTGGAGACCCAGCTGCAGCCTGGTAAGATCCCTTAGGGCACAGGTTTGGGGTGTCCAAGGGAGGCATGGGTCAGTGCTGCTGACTGCCCACTAAGGGGCATGGCCTGTCTGCAGGGTGAGCTCCAGCCCAGGAGGGCACCAGTAGGTCCCCCACTCTGCTACGGCTTGGTGTGCAGTCCTGCAGCTGAACCTGGAATGTGGGAAGTTCCACCTAAACATGAGCAAGCACTTTACGGTGAGGGTGACTGGAACAGGTTGCCCAGCATGGCTGTAGAGTCTCCTTCTCTGAAGATACCCAAAAGCAGCCTGAACGGAGGCCTGAGTAAGGCACTCCAGGAAACCCTTCTTCAGCAGGGGGTTTGGACTGGATGAGTGCAGTGGTCCCTTCCACCTCAGCCATTCTGTAATTCTGATTCTGCGACCCGTGGAGACGGGGCACAAAGTCTCAGCAGTGCTGCCCACGCAGGGGGTGGCAGGGAAGGTGGATGCTCCACTGGGAGAGCAAGTGTGGGTGCGTGTTGGTGCGCGGGGGCTGAGTGCGTGTCCGTGTGTCCGTGTGTCCGCATGTCCGTGTGTGTGTCCGTGTGTGTGT